GTTGAGTGTGAGTATAATGAAATATAAGTAAGTATGAGTGTAACATAATGAAATCTTTTTTTCCCTTCAGATGAGCCGAATAACTCTGGAGGAAAAGAGAATTGTTTACAAATATGGTATAGAAATGATACGTACCTTTGGAATGACATCTCTTGTGACAGGAACATCAGAGGCGGATACATTTGTCAGAGTGAGTGACGGTATTTTATACAATGTTTACAAATAAGAAATTATTATAATAACACAAACATATACTGTGAAATCACTTATTTTCATGGGGTTTTAATTTTCATTGTTTTCGAGGTATGAAGAGACCCACGAATTCATGCCAACCACAAAATATAAATTTTCATATGCACAACTATTAAAAGTTCTTCATCCACGAAATCAAATCCCCATGAACCAACATTTTATCCTCAAACCACGAAAATTTGTGATTTTACAGTATGAGATCCATGACTTACGGTTAAAATAATTGCTTGCTTTATGTTCAAAACTTCATTCAATCACACATTAAGTGCATTTCATTACTATTGATTCATACGTGGACAGTAGAATTCCACCCTTGCATATTTCATTATAAATATTGCGAGTGTAATTAGGAAGTTTTTTTTACAAGTAATTTATCACAACGCAAGAATTTATCATTAATAGATTAAAAGAGTCGAGTTAAATTTTTTATGAATGTCACATACGGATACAAGATTGCTTTGATTGAATTCGCATCAGAATAAAACAATTTTAACAAAACACCCAAAACACCATTGGTATAATTAGATTTTGATAAGTGGAAATGGTACTTAGTTTTGTACCGTGTATGAAATATCGAACAGCATTCAAGATCATCATTGCGAGTGTAATGAAAAAAAAAAAAAAAAAACAGGTATTTTTTTTACTGAGAGTGTCGACTTACGTATGTCGCAAAATTTTAAAGAGCTTGATTTGATAAAATATATAATGAATATAATGCATATAAATTATGAACTTAATCAAATAACATAAGAAATAATCTTTGTTAACAGAGAAATCAGACATTACAGAGAGCATTTTATCAGGAATGAGTGAACAACCAACATTTCTCTAACAACACCCAAAGACACAACTATAAAACGGATAGGTATTTTACATGTAAAGTGGAAATGGTACTTACTAGAATTAATTGTACAGTGAAACGTATGAAGATAACTAACAGTATTAAAGCTCAAAAGTCCATCGCTCCGTGAAAAAAAAAAAAAAAAAAAAAAAAAAAAAAAAAAAAAAAAAAAAAAAAAACAAACAAACAAACAAAAAAACACAAACAAACAAAAAAAAAAAACCAAAAACAGGGACCTCTTAAACATGAGAGCCCCGTGTCAGCGGCAGGTTGCCATGTAAAACAGAAAATAAAAGAGCTCAGTTATATGTGATTTTACATTTGAGATCCATGACTTACGGTTGAAAAAATTGCTTGCTTATATTTCAAAACTCTTTTAATCACACATTAAGTGAATTTTATTACTAGATTCATCAATGTGAACAGTAAAATTTCACTCTTGCATTTTTCATTTTCCTTTTCGGTAGTCTTAACCAGTTTAACAATAAATTTATCCCAACGCAAGGATTTATCATTGATAGATTAAAAGAATCGAGTTAAAATTTTATGAATGTCACATACGGATACAAGATTTCTTTGATTGAATTCACATCAGAATAAAACTAATTTTAAACAAAACAAAAAGAAAGCATTGGTATAATTAAGTTTTGATAAGTGAGAGAGGAGTTTTCTGTCTAAAATCCTTTTACTAAAGATTAGCATTGCGTGTGTAATGAGGTATTTATTTTACTGCAAGTGTCGACTTTGGTAGTCGCCAATCATCTGTATAGCTTGATTTGATAAAATTATAATGAATATAATGCATATAAATTATGAACTTAATCAAATAACATAAGAAATAATCTTTGTTAACAGAGAAATCAGACATTACAGAGAGCATTTTATCAGGAATGAGTGAACAACCAACAATAATAACAACACCCAAAGACACAACTATAAAACGGATAGGTAATGATTACATGTAAAGTGGAAATGGTACTTACTAGAATTAATTGTACAGTGAAACGTATGAAGATAACTAACAGTATTAAAGCTCAAAAGTCCATCCGGAGCAAAAAAAAAAAAAAAAAAAAAACTAACAAAAAAAAAAACAAACAAACAAACAAAAAAACACAAACAAACAAAAAAAAAAAAACCAAAAACAGGGACCTCTTAAACATGAGAGCGGAATCAGGTGCCATGTAAAACAGAAAATAAAAGAGCTCAGTTATATGTGATTTTACAGTATGAGATCCATGACTTACGGTTGAAATAATTGCTTGCTTTAAGTTCAAAACTCTTTTAATCACACATTAAGTGAATTTTATTACAAGACTCACCAATGTGAACAGTAAAATTTCACTCTTGCATTTTTCATTTTCCTTTCGGTAGTCTTAACCAGTTTAACAATAAATTTATCCCAACGCAAGGATTTATCATTGATAGATTAAAAGAGTCGAGTTAAAATTTTATGAATGTCACATACGGATACAAGATTTCTTTGATTGAATTCACATCAGAATAAAACTAATTTTAAACAAAACAAAAAGAAAGCATTGGTATAATTAAGTTTTGATAAGTGAGAGAGGAGTTTTCTGTCTAAAATCCTTTTACTAAAGATTAGCATTGCGTGTGTAATGAGGTATTTATTTTACTGCAAGTGTCGACTTTCATAGTCGCCAATACTCGGTATAGGTTGATTTGATAAAATTATAATGAATTTAATGCATTTTAATTATGAACTTGATTAAATAACATAAGAAATAATCTTTGTTAACAGAGAAATCAGACATAACAGAGAGCATTTTATCAGGAATGAGTGAACAACCAACAATAATAACAACACCCAAAGACACAACTATAAAATGGATAGGTAATGATTACATGTAAAGTGAAATTGATACTTACTAGAATTTATTGTACAGTGAAACGTATGAAGATAACTAACAGTATTAAAGCTCAAAAGTCCATCCGGAGCAAAGAAGACAGGGACCTCTTTAACATGAGAGGGGGATCAGGTGCCATATAAAACGAAATTTTAAAGAGCTCAGTTTTCAAATATTCAAATACAAAAACACGGGACAAAGAGTATAGATACAACACAATCCATCTTCTGGTATGAAAGTACTGTTACAATGTTTTATGTTCGCAAAGAAAATGTACATAACTCATAACGTGAACATGTATTTTAAATGATGTTTTCCCGTCAAGGTACAACAGCGTCGTATTTTGATGACTTAGAATACAAAGAACAACATAGAGATTGCGTGCCAAATACTGAGAAGATTGGTAAAATGGTATCTTTCTATATGCATTATATTAAGAAATGCAGCTTGCTTTACAAATGTAGGTTTACACAAAAAAAATGTTAAAACGTTGTATAACTAATAATATCATTGCCTCGGTATCGTAAAAAAAATTAAACCGATTTGATTTAAATCTTAGAATGTTTCTAGTAAATAACTAGAATAAAAGTCTTTATATCTTTAAAAAAAATTAAACCAGGTTGATTCAGTTCTTAGAGGAAATCAGTCAAAGAAAGAAATAGAAGAGACGATTGAGAGGGCACTACATAAATTACAAGATATTTCCATCAATAAAGAACCAACTTCTGAGGATTTTGAGAGCTCAATAAATTTGTTAGATGAAATTGTGAATGTCTGTAGAGGATTGAGTGTTTCAATCCCAAGGATGGTATTTTCATTTCTCATTTTGCTAATTAAAAATCCATTATCTAATCCCTCCTTTATTTTGTAATTTCCTATGTTTTTACATATTGCTATTTAGATGATTGTGACAATTGACAACCTCCTTGCTGACAACCATACTGTTGCCTGCCAGAACAAGTCCACAAAACAGGTTTTTATCATTTTTAAAGTCAGATTAATGTGAAAATTTCCTAAACATCACAAGCAATTTTTTTAATTCATGATCATTATCATATCTCTTCAACAGGCAACTGCAAGATTCGATAAGATATTTAGATTGGTAGACAAGGTCGGCTTACATATCTTAGAGACCATCAAGGAGAACGAAATCAATCAATTTAACATGACCAAAAATTTAGGTAATGTGCATGAAAGCCCCTAATTAGTGTTATTTTTATAATGCTTACGATTTGTTTTCTTTTCTCATCGGTATAACGCTTCATTTGAGATCTTCAAAAATAAAAATTATTTCTATTTGTATAAGTTTTTACAGTTGCAAAGATTGCAGCAAAACAAAGTGTTATTTTCCCGGAAAACAGTAGCATCTTTGGTTCATCACTAGTGCTTCCTGTGCAGACTCAACGATTTAATCGAAGTAATTTCAGATCCTCAACAAACCTATCGTCATTTAGTGGCTTCAATTTTTACTGTAAACTTTGACTAAATCAATGGGTAACATATATACTATTTCAAACTTTAGATATCGAGTACCTTGCGGTAAAATATAATACGCTTGGAAAGTTGATTAACGACAGAAATAGGTAGGAATTTCCTAAAAATTCATATATTTTCATCATACAGCATGTTTTTGCTAAAACAATACGTTTATATTAAATTCTTTTTTTTTCAGAAATAAAGATTATTCAGAATACAAAATTTCTTCTGATATCATGTCTTTAACACTCCGCGACCCTTTATTTGGAGAAAGACTAGACCCTTCATTGCATTTAAAGTTCTTAAAGCACGGGGTATGTGAAACTCCTTCCAGGCATTTTGAATAAAAAAATCTTTGATGTTCAAGTGAAAATACTATCATCATTTTCTTTTTATTTTTATTTTAGAATTCCCACAAATTGATCAGAGAATGTGTATTTTGGGATTTTGATCTCAAGTTAGTGTTGAATTGTTGACAAAAAGTAAACTGCTTATTAAAAAAATTAAAAATGTATTAATATTAATACACATATAATCGTATTTGAATATGAGTCTGGTGAATAATGTATTACAGTAACGGAAATGGTGGGTGGTCAACACTAGGGTGTAGATTACTATCTACAGATGATCTTTATCTTCACTGTGAATGCAACCATCTGACAAATTTTGCGGTACTGGTTCGACCATATTCAAGGGTAATCATTGAAATCTCTACGAAAATTTAAAGATAAAACACCGATGAAATTATTGCTTTATACTTAAATAATTTTACTAAACATATACCTCTTCGTAAATGATGTCCAACCGCAAATTTCTAATTCTTCAGCTTCAAGAGGAAGATAAGGCGTTGAGTTGGATATCTATAATTGGTTGTTCGATATCCGTGTTTCTCTCTTTGCTGACAGCCATAGTTTACATTGTTCTTTGGAAGTAAGAAATAGTCAGATCACCAACATGTACTTTTACTCAAACATCGTGCACTGCTTTTATTTCTAATTTACAACGTATGATCCAAAATAAAATCCATAGTTTTTAAATTCCCTCTCTTGTAGATCTATTTCATGTGACATCAGCAGAATGGTAAATAAGATCACGGTGCTTCTTTGTCTTAGTATCGCCCTGGCGTACACGATATTTCTAATAGGAGTGGACAAGATCCGGTATAAGGTAATGATAATAATATCAAAAATTCTTAAATATGTATATATTTTGTAAGTTTTCTGTATTTCAAATCAATTTACTCTCATATATATTAAACATGCTTTAGGAAATATACATTATATGAACCACGTCATTTTTATTTTCAAATTAAAAACTTACTCAAAATAAAACATAAATAGCTGTATTTTCTTTATATGCCTTTCGGCAAATAGAATAGCTAGCGACAGACTTCGCGCAAAATTCACCGATTTGTCTTCAGATTACAGAGTACAATGAAAGTTTTAAATGTTTTGATTTCACAAACAGACCCGTCCTTCTCTATATTTAGGGTACAATGTAACAGTTTTTCTGTATGACTCTCAGAATGGTTTGGAGGGTAGTGCCCAAAAAAAATTGAGTGTTTTAATCAGTCAATAGCTATTGATTCTTAGGTAATAAGAAAATCTATTGATAAAATAAACCATGACTATAATAATGCTTTCTTTTCATGGTTGGATTGCAGCATCGTTTATAAACTGTTTCAATCGACACTCCTAGAAAGAGGAATAACAAGTCAAATCAAATTGTGATAACTCTGCTTTATATTTCAGGTCGGATGTACTGTGATTACAGCATTGTTACATTATCTGTTCCTTTTTGTTTTCTTTCTGATGCTGGCCATTGGTTTGTACTATTTCAGTAGCATTTCACTGATCAAAATGTCATTTTCAAAAGCAACAACATTTCAAAGTAAAGCCAATTTCTTCGGCAAAATCATTTGGGGAATTGTAACTGGTGAGTAAAATGTTATTTTGTCGATGGACAAAAAAAAACAAACAAACACAAATTACAATTATATCGTTATTGAAGATGTTTTAGTGTGTTAATATGGATATTTAAATAGAAGTAATCTTACTTTATTTTAGTTTTGCCAGCGTTTATAACTGCAACAACATTTGGAGTTGTATATTCCTTGAACAAGGACTACCACTCAAAGACCAGGTAAAATCTTTATAAATTTATCCGTTAAGATGTTTTAAGGTATTGAAAGCCATATTAATTGTTTCAACGCTTTCTACAGTTGCTGGTTATCACTTGAAAGTGGGGCTTTGTATGGCTTCGTTGGACCTGTAGCTTGCATCGTTCTGGTAGATGTTTTTCATTTCATATAATTTTTTTAAAGTATGATCAAGGTTGAACAATGCTTATTTTATTTTCTTTTGTAAAGAAAAGCCCCTGGTTATGGGTTTATGATAAATTTCATTTATTTTTATCGTTCCCGTGCTTTCAATTTATTTGCGAAACGATGATGTACTTCTTCATTTGAACAAAGTATATGGCGCAAACTTGATAAGGCTTGTTGATAATGTAAATAGCTTTATTTTTAAAATTTTTCACTAATTTCAGATCAATATTGTCATTGTTATTATCCTCTCAGTGACTCTTTGCTCCATTGGATTCACACCACAAGATAAGAGGAGGAACAAGATATTGTAAGTCAGTTTGGATTTTAATTAAAGGAATGATATCCCCTCTGACGTTTGTAGAGGCCCACATTTGCTCCGCTTTTAATTTATATAGTTTTATTGAATTTTTATCATGATTACTGTATGTTTGATGCATATTTCATGCATGTGGTGACTTATGCGTACTCAAACAGGGTTAAAATAGAAACAAAAGAATAATATTTGATGACTTATTTATAAGTAAAGCTGTCGCGCCAGTAAATAATTTAAATGAAAACACGGATTTATAAAGAATGGTTTTCCATGTTTCGTGAACTAGTTTTACTGAATATTAAAAGTTGAAAAAGGGCCTATCTTATAAATAATTCAAATGTATTATTTCAGAGCCGGAATAAAGTCCATCTGTACACTGTTACCTGTTCTGGGTGTCACGTGGTTGTTTGGCCTCTTGTCCATTAATGAGGATGTGGTCGTTTTTCAGTATATATTTGCTCTGTTGAATTCCTTTCAGGTAATTATTTTTAGAATTGAAATATAAATTTTATGGAAAATGTTCAATGTTTTGTAGTTGTATTGGGAATTTATAACAGAAGCAAATATCTAGCAAATATATCAACAACATATAGAGAAATGTTACCATATTTCTTCTCTGACAGGATGGTTAATTAATATTTTTAACATTGTAAAAATATGAAACTTTTATTTGATAAATAAGTGTCCTTTACTATTGAACATGTAGTTCATAGCAAGGACTAAACCATCAAATAATTAGATAATCTTTTGTAATATAATTTTTATTCTTATATCTTTAAAGGGGCTTTTCATTTTCATCTCCAAATGTCTTTTAAGTAAAAAGGTAAGGGCAGTAAACAACAGAGAAATGGTAATATTTTTTATCGTTTTTTTTCAATTCTTGTTAGCAAATACAATTTGCTGGATAAACAAAAAGAAAATTATATGCTTCAGATCAAAAAGTCGCTCGGTGAGAGAATACATAAAAAAGATTCAGAACATTGGGGAAGTAGGCTTTCTACATTTCTGAGCAGCAATCAACTGTCCATGAAAACAAAAAAGTTTTCTTCATTGTCTAAAGTGAGTATTTTGTAGATACAAGAGATAAAACAAATACATGTTTAACTTTAGATCAATTAAATCTTATACAATCATGCATATGATGTCATCGTCTATCATATTTTTGAAACGTAATGCATCAGATATTACCATTGATGTTTATTTCTATCTGATAAGGTAAACAATATAGAAAAAAACAATTGTATGTGCTTTCAGTTGGAATAGAATAAAAAAGATATAAGTAAGTTATTTCTAAAATGGGACGAAATTTTAACATTAAAGTTTATTGATATTAAAGATCCAGTCTGAAGAAGAAGATTCTTTTAAAGGAGTAATCGAAGGGGATTGCATTATGGTATCTTCTTAAATACATGAATTATCTTTTTAATAACAACTTGGCTACTTCTATTAACCTACTAAAAAATGGAAATTTGTAATTTTAATAAATTTTTTCACTGTCTTTTGAATAAAGAAGTTAATAATATAAAAGGAAAATTCAAATGTATACTGTGAAAATAAATTTGATATTTCAGGGTATTTCTTTCAAGAGTAGAGACGGCGACAATATAGCTCTAAAACAATTATAGACAATTGATTACAACATGAAAAATTCCACTAATAAGAAAAAGAAAGAAAGATCCATTGAAGAATATTTTATCACCAAAGCAGCATATTATAGACTTCATACATTGTCTAAACATAACTATTGCTGTCTTGAGCATAGTGGAAACTCATTTGTTTCATTATCTGGGCTCTGGGATCAACTCTCATTCAAACTTACGATTTTTATCAAAGAAAGTTACACGGGTTCTACGTCCTTGGCAAAAGAAGTACAATTAATGCATGGGACGTTTTAAAATGGTCTAATGAGCATAGGTTCCATGTCGAGTTTGTCACTACTTAATGGCTTTGACTACCAAGTATGTCCAAATTGGTAAGCCCCTGACGTTCAAATTCTCACAATAATGTAAAACAACCAACAAACAATCAGTCAATTATTATTGATGATTAGCAGTTTTAATGTTTAAAATTTCAACACTCTTAATTCTTTAAAGATACGCTAATTTTATTTGTACATATCTTTTTAGAAAGGTAATTTCAAATCAATTAGTTGGCTACAATTAAAATAATCTGCTTTTGTTGTTTTTAACTTGAATTTTATCTGCATGATTATAGTCATATAAAATTTCTTTGGAAAGTGTTTTAACAGACCACGGTCCAAGAACAACAGTTTACCTTCAGGTACAAAAACATATATTGCTTTGACTCTAGTCTTTTGAATACAGTTTGTTATCTCCATATCTTTCTTTAACTATTTTGTCATATCTTCTCTTAAGAAAGAACATTAAAAATTTTACTACATTAAGTATTTGTTTCAATAAAATGAAATGTATGTAGATAACGAACAATATTCAAGCTCAAAAATCAATTAAACAATAAAAAAAATAGCAGGGCCGAATATTTCACGTTCTATTTTATTTAAATTTACATGGTGGTAACTTACGAGGGATGTTCAATAAATTATGTCATTGGTGCTCGGAAAGAAACAACGCTTTTCTATGATTAAGTCTTAATGAATAAACTAAAATATTATCTTTTTATTAAAACACATGTCCGCAACATTTTTATTCAATTTCTAATTGTTTTTAGAACACATTTTCAGTATGACCCTTCGTATACTGGAATATGGCAGATCTTATGATTTCCTGTACTTGTTTTTTTTTCTTTCTGAAAGGTGTATTTTCGAGTTTGGGAAATAAAACAAGTAAAAGGTTGAAAATGCTGGCCAATATTGTTGGTATGACAAAATATTAACTTTCTTTTTATCCCAAGAACTCCTATACTCTCCATGGATTCTGGGGTTGTAGCATTAAGAAAAAAATGTAAATTTCCTGTTATTCCTCTCATAAACATTTCACTTTTTCAAACATTTTGTTTTCTAGACTCTTCCAGAAATTGAAATTACTCTCCCAATAAGAATTTGAACAACAAGACCACTAATATTTAAGAAAATAGCATATAAAATTGTTTTTGTGCTCTTACAATTCATTGCACTTTTCAGATCTTTGGGTTTTTTCTTTTTGTCAAGTGTATCTCATTCTAAATTTGTTTTGAGAGTTTCAAGCAAAATGGATTAAAATTTCATTATCTGTTTGAATTTCAGACAAACATGGATAAGTACATTTTTTTGTTTTTTAAAATAATTGTTTAGATATTCCTACACGGTGTCTTTTTCAATTATTTTTCAAAAATATTGGGTGACATTGAGTCTTAAACTTTATACTACCAAATCTTTTTTAAAACAGTGTGAACCACCCCCAAAATGATGTCTATCAAATTTTCTATGTGTTTTAAAGTTAATCAACAATATCAGTGAAAATTTGTAGAATTTCCGCAAATATACATGGGTTATTGTATGTCCTAGTCGCCAAGGACGATAACCATTATTGATGCCCATTATATCAGATTTGTTCATTGAAATCTACCTGCTCATGTGTGTATAAAACAGACATAGGTTGCTGTAAATTTCACATATTTCAGTAAATATATCTCCGGGATTCTTATCAAGTTTTACAGCAGCTTTAATGAAGCGTTTAATTTTACTCTAGTTTACTAGTTTTTGACTTTTCATTTTAAATGCAGTGTCTTGAATTGCCCTTGTTTTCCATCTTCTCACAATGGAACTTTGTGATGAAAAGTAGTCACATAAACTGTTATTAACTCATTAAAGATTCAATAACTAGAGGAAGTCAAGTATGATAGCATATAATTTCTATGTTGTATGCCATTGAGCTGATGACATTATTTATCGAACGTCTCTCGTAAATTGTTTGTAGAATTAGATGAAAATCTCTTATCAGCAAAAAATGCTAAATAACCAAATATATATTTATAAATTATTTAGAAGCTACCAAGTCCTTCCAAGCTTTATAGCTATGTATGCATATTCATGCTTACGAAATATCTGTAATTATTTTATCTCAAATTTTTGAACCCATTGATGGCGAGCTTTAAGTATATTATGCATAAATCAAAATAGATAAATCACGAACGTTTAATTCAGAAAACTTTTTTATACTGTTTCATATTTGTCTTACCTTTACCCTTTTACATACCTTTACGAAATCTATGCAGTTCTGCATCTTTAAATGAGACAGAGGTAGATTAGAACATTATAAGTTAAAATTAGCTAGAAGACTATATAATTAGGACTATATTCTCAATTTTAATTAGCTAGTCTGCATTGGCACTTACCGTTTTTGATGGATCTATGTATGTACACGCATAACCATTAATTTTATAGTGTGCTAAAATTCATTAGCAGCTCGGTACAATGAAAAAGTAATTGCCTTGAAATGTATCTTATACAGATGTATATATATGTATGTATAGTTTTACTTTTTCATATACATATTCGTCTTATTTATTTGACAAAAAGTGTAATCAGTGCATGGTATACGTTTTAAACCTAGTATATTTTGAATCATAATACCTGTATCTTTGAAAAAAAAAATTACCAATACTGTACTCAACTTTATATTTTAATATTATTTATTTTTTTTTATATATTTTTCAATAAAGTTAATTGACAATCAAAGTTTTCATTTTTCATATCATTGACAGCTGATTTTTCTATAAAAATTGAACTCGTAAATTTACTAACCTGGTCATTGGACATTTGCAGAATTATTTTGTTTAAACACTTTCTGATTCAGCACACAAGCACTCTAAAATTGACATTAAAAGATGCTTGAGTTTCTGATTGACAATATCTAGATTTTAGAGACCAGGTCCTCCAACAATCTATTGGAATTTCCAATGGTACCAATTGCGCTCCGTTATTAGCAGACTTTTTTTGTATCCATATGAAGCAGAATTTGTGCAAAATCTTATACATGAAAAGTGGAAAACACTTTATTTGGCCTTCACCTCGATATTTAGATATATCAACGACGTACTGTCAATGAATAGTGGTCATTTTCATTCTCATGTCAATATCGTGGTGAGCTTGAAATAAAAGACACAACAGAGTCTGACACATCTGTTTTATATTATGATATTTTACTTGAAAAAGACGAAATGGTAATTTATCAACCAAGCTGTATGATAATCGTGATGGCTTTAACTTTTCTATCGTCAACTTCCCTTCCTTATTCAGCTATATACCTTTGTCACCTGTATACATAGTTTACATATCTCACTTGATAAAATACGCAAGAGCATGCTCAATGTATGTAGAAGTTCTACAACGAGGTAAATTATTGACAAACAAATTAATGAAACAAGAATATCAGCAGTCTCGTTTAAAGTCATCATTTTGTATGTTCTATGGTCGATACACTGATTTTGTCAGTAAATACAATTTATCATTGAGTCAAATGCTGACTGAAGTTTTTTCATACTAATTATTAGTCCATTTTTTATACACTGAATTGACGATGGATTTTTCTGTAATATCCCAGTCATGACAAGGAGCACACGACGTGTGTGACCGGATGATAGGGAATGCTCACTCCTCCATGGCACTTGGTCTCTGATGTTTCGGAGGTCCTTGTTTGTTCTGTCTCTATTTTGTACTGTTTTATGGACTTTTGATCTGGGATACTGTTCGTTATCTCTAAATGTTTTATCGAATAAGTTTAAAACAAGCTTCATTTCTTTTACATAACAAGTGTGTGCAATAAGGGAGCACAATTTGTGGCTATTGAAATTTCCAAGGCTCAACCATGAATGAAAGATAGTTTTTGTACTCTTTCTTGCAATAAATTTCTATACAGGGAATAGTGAGAAGATTTTAATAATTCTGCTTTTGTTCTTTCAATAATACTTTGTATAAAAAACCTCTCCCGATGACTCTACTTACTATCAGGAAGTGTAAAGAGTAAAAAGACTATTATAAACAAATGAGTACATATCTTAGATGGTCGGCTGGATTAAGTGTCGTAGACTCGTTTTATCAAGGCTAGTTTAAAAAAAGAAAGCACAAATGGTACTTGAGTTAGTTATTGTCATGTGCCCCATAAGTAAAATCATAGAACCTAAAGTTAGTAACATGATTATAAGAAGGCATTTAAAAAAAAAAATTTCAATCATAAAAGGCCATATAAATGTGTACTTAAGAATGAACCTAACATTTTGATATTTTATCTGAAAATCTTACAAAAAATGTTGTGAAATGATAAAGATTGAGCATTTTCAAACCTATTATCAAGCATATAATTTGTAACACTTAAGAATAAACACTTAATAAAAACACGGAAGTAAAAACGCCCAAGTTATGGTATAAACTTAGTTATTGTTAATCTATTTTTGTTCAGACGTTAATAGATAGCAACATTAAGTTCCTATTGAAAGAGCTGTTCAACACGTACGATAATACGAAAACACACGATGATTTTAAATTTTATCTTGATAGGTACGTATTAGACGTTTGATCTTTTATTCTCTCTCTCTCTCTTTCTTTTTTTCTCTTTCTCTCTATAATTTTTACATTTTATTTACAGGAATGATATTTTCCGTTCCCGAAATATTCTGCCTACTCAAGCCTTGTGTGGGAAATGGGAAAACATACCAATTTGAAGGGTTGAAAAAATACAGCTGGCTTACAGCAGCTGAGTATTGTGAAGAAGCCGGTGGAACTTTAGCCTATGGATGGTCATTTTTTTCAAGCGTATTGTATCTTCGGTGAGTAGAATTGTAATATTTATAATAGTTTAAAATGAATTCAACAATATAATATTGTAATATATATAGGGTTTGTTTGTACTATATATAAACGAGAAGATATTAAACGTAAAGTTATCTTTCACTGTAGATAATCTTAGAAAAAGCGTTGGTTCGTATTCCATCGGGGGTAAGAAACATCCCTCTAGAAACTGGACGTGGATGGATGATACTCCAATTACTCTACCAACATACTGGGCTCAAGGTTTCTTTTAATACTGATTTAAATTTGAATTTTTTGTTAGAAATAGTTATAATGGAACATTCTATATTTTAGCGGATAGTATGGTTAGTTTTTAATCGGTCTTCGAATGACTTAGTTTAAAAAAAAGAATCCTTCTGGTCTAATTATGTTTGACATTTTCCAGTCCTATATGCTAAGACATCGCCCGCTTTCAAGTTTTATTGTTTCAATGGCCTGATGATTACAGCTAATTATCTCTGTAGTAAGAAAGAATAAATGCTCGAAGAAAAATGCTAGCTGGACAGAGAATCAAACCCGTGACCCCTGCATTACAAGTGTTCTAACCACTGAGCTATCCAGGCCGATATCCATGGTCCGTAAAGCCCGAACTTCTACATTCCTCCCTCCTTAAGCTTTCTTCGACCTCGAAGACACAATTTCTAGGGTCCTGCCAGTAATTACTAATTTACCATACACTGTAACCTTAACAAGGCACCCACTATGCCCCCCCACCAAATGTAGTAGGAGAGGCGAA